CCGCCTCCTCCAGCGACCCTGGGCGCTGGCAGCGATCCCTGCATAGCCTCCTGTCCTCAGGTCGGAGTTCCAGCTGCTTCCAGCCCCAGCAAGTCAGCTGGGCTGGACGGAGGGGGCCCTACATTTTGTCACTGTTGGGCTGGAGAACCTCCTCTGAGAGAGCAGATACTTTGATGAAGTGATTAGTACAGATAGAAAGATACATTTGTCGGGTGGTGGCTTTTAGAAAAATATTTTAACAGAAAACAAAGAAATTGTCTTGACCCAGGTTGTACTGTGAAACTTTGCAACAAATGCCTTTGCTTTCTTTTACTTCAGTATCCTTTCCCCCTTTTTCTTTTAAGGAGCCCTTAGGGAAACCATGAAGTAACCCTGCACATTCCAGTAACACAGTTATGACAAAATAGAGCCCAAGTATGAAGTGATCAATTTTTTTTGTAAATGTTAAGAAAGAAAAACAGCAGAAACAAAAGTGCACATAACAATTCAAGATTTCTTTTTAAAAAAAAGAAAGTAACTTACCTGTTGGGACATTCTGAATAAAAGGTTAGTATCAGCGTTTTGCCATGTCCCCATGAACCCTGGTTCAGCCGCAGTCGTTCTGGTTCCGAACTGCATGGAGTTGTCAGTACAGGAGTCTCTTAAAGTCAAGTCTCTTGCCCTCTTTGGCTCTCTGTCTCTCTGTGTCTCTCTTTCTCTCACATCCACTTCTGCCTCTTCTGACTGAAAAGTGAAGGTGGATTTTTTGAGCCTCTTGGCAGCCAGTAGCAGGAGTGTAGTGTAGTTAAGAAGCTGGCTGAACTGTGCATTTCATTTGGGAAGGGGGAGACTTGGGGGAGGGAGGGGGTCCGAGCTTCTTTCGCACCTTCTGCACAGATACCCCTATCATTTATGCATAGATTGTGACTCCCCGAGCTTGCCTTTGCTCAGTTTAACAGCTGCCTGTCAGGTGTGCAGGCAGCACTGGAGACCCAACCATCAGCTTCAAACTCTCAGCCACTGCATGTCATTGGATAGCAGAGCTAAGAGTCAACTGCACCGTTCCACTGTCAGGCACCAAATGACACCCTGCACTAACCCCTCTCCAGACACACTGAGAGATACACATTTCTGCACGCTCCAAGCAGCACCAGGATCACAGACCGACGGTGCACGGGGTGAGGAGAAGCTGGGGCCCTTCCCAGGGAATTTCCCCCAACAATGCTTTCAGGTATAACATGCAGTATCTGGCATCAGCCTTTGCTTTAGCATTTGTAAACTGCTACGCTTAAACATTATTTTTTTTCTAGTTATACTGGGAGAAAGAAAAATATTTGGATGTAAGAGAATGTAAAATTGGCTCAGTTGTTGTCAAAATGTTAACTCCTAAAAGTCATATAGTATGTGCTGGGCTATTTATAACCACAATTCAACTCCAAGAGAAAATAATACACATAGGGACATAACTTTACACTCTAGGAAGTAAATAAATAAACTTAGCAGTTTTTTAACATGGAAGATGCACAATAAACATTTTGCAAAATACATACATGTATACTACTTAATGTCCAGTACCTCAGGTCATTCATTAATTACTAAATTAGATGTTAAGTAATAAGAAATTGAATGACAAAGGAAAAAAGTATACCTTTTCTTAAAGTTCAAAAGTAGAGAAAAGTCCTTTGTGAAAGTTCCTGGATGAAGCATCTACAATATCCTTTCAAATCATAAAAAAAGAAAAAGATGAAAAAGAAAAATCCTGTCCCATTTCAGGCAAAAAGTAATGACTCTAAAGTTCCATTTTTCATTCAACATCTCTATGGAAAATTCTATAACATTTTCCTGCCTGATGAAATATAACCTCCGATAGCATGTCATATTCTTAATTAAGCTAGTTTTTAAAAGAAAACAACTATTTATTAGATAGTATTTATCGTGCCCTATTTATGGAAAAGCAGAACTGAACAGAATGCACTGTACATAAACAGTGACTTCCAAATGGAAAGCTATATTCATGTCATCTCATAAAAGTAGGCAGCAGGAAAAAGCCATCCTTCCTAAACTTAAAATGTAAGGAACATTAATCTTCAACCACCTACAAATATCGAGGACAAATGTACCACTCTCCTTGCTCCTTCTTAAACTGAAGAATAGCAATAAACCTTACTCTCTGAAACAACAAAAGAAACAGAAAAGAGCTTCAATGGCAGCTCTGTGTCATTAGTGGACAATGAGAAAAGATGAGAAAACGTACACTATGTTGACACAAATGTGCCTTCCCCTCTAGAACCAGCATCTCCTGAAAGCTTTTCTGTTAAACTTCCCTCCGGTTCACCACCATTAAGCACAAAAAAGTCTCAAAAGCAGCAAATTCAATATCTGAGAAGAAGCAAACAAGAACCCAAAGAATTGTTGCCTTAAAATATATTAAGTCCACCTGTGGTCAATAAAAATATTCTTGAGGGGGGAGGGCAGGAAAAGACCCTATGAGTCAATTGTCAACAGTGACTGTACCTTTACAGCTAGCTATTACCCACTTAAACTCCCTCTAAAATTTGCTAGCCTCTTGATTTCTGAAGTGGCACTCAGTGCCTCAGTCAAGCTGCCTGCTCAGCTCCTGACCTTCCCCCTAATGGCTGTTGTTTGTGGGAGGCTTAAGGACACTGTCAATAGCATGCTTCCTCCTCCCTCCTCTCAGGCTGTTGTATTGCTTTGCCTGCGTGTTCTCTCTCGCCTGCCTCTTGCTCTCTCTAGTTCCCCCCTCCTCCCTTCCTCTCCCCTTAACTCCCTCTTCCTCTTCTTCCAGCCCCCACCCCCTCTTTCTTTCAGTCCAGCAGTCCTCTTCTTTCCCTGCTATCCTCCCCCAGACCCCTCTCCTCTCCACCGCCCCCCCTTCTCTCTCTCTCTCTCTCTCTCTCTCTCTCTCTCTCTCTCTCTCTCTCTCTCTCTCTCTCTCTCTCTCTCTCTCTCTCTCTCTCTCTCTCTCTCTCTCTCTCACACACACACACACACACACACACACGACACAACACAAAAATCAACTGGCATGCAGCAGCAAGCACCTGCAGTAATAGACTCTTTTATTAAAACTGTTATTCTGCAAGACTTCAAATTCCCCGTGGACCGGGCCATGTCAAAGCCGATATAATTAACTAGAGGCTCAGCAACGGATCAATTACCAGACAAGCAAGTGATAGTGAAATCAATGAAAGATCATCAGCCACATTATCAGTGTTGCAACTCATTAGGGCAAAACTGAGAAATGTGCTCAAAGCGAGCCCAAGCAAGGTGGCATTACAAAACAAAGGGCTAATTTGGAGACCCTGCTGTGAACAATCTGTAACAGAATTAGCCTTTTTTCCCCCTAAACTGCACAGCTCCGTAACTAAATGTGACAGACTGAGAGAAGCAGTTTATTAAGACACCAACCCCAAGTTTATTTAGTTCATAAACTCTCTCCTAAAAAATCAATACAGTCTGTACAGGGTTATTAGGCTGACTAGCTAATACATCCAAATCTAGTCTGCTCGGCCAGCAGTCTTCTGACAAAATGCTATCTAGCGCAGGCAAACTGAGCTATTTCAGATATCAATGTCTGAGGTTGCTCTCGATGAAACAGGTCTGCCATGTAACTAGTACCTGCATATTACTGTCAAGGCACAAGCCTCAAAATTACAGAGATAGCTTTCTAATGTTCAAAATATTTTTTTCACAACAAATCTATATCATATGGTACTGTTCTGAGAAAAGTATTGGATTAAAGGAAAATTTAACTAGTCGGTAAGACTAGTTTACAAAGACAACAAGCTTTATTACAACAAGAGACAACAAAATATACCTACAAGGCACAAAAATGATTTTTGAGTTTGTCCATTGGCTCTATAGTCTGCAGAATATGAAACAACTATATGGAATCATCTGTGTTAAAATTATTTAAAATTGGGGGTGGTAGCAGTGGAGGCAGGTATCACTTCCACAGTAATTGCTTTTTTCTGCCCCGATTTTATGTATTTCAGGTTAAGGAATTGCAAATACTAAAGGCCATGTGTTGGCTTTCCCACGTTGACTGATAGGGAGAGATGTACCATGAAAATTAAGTAGTACACCAACTAGGTCTAAATGGCACCCACGATATTCAAGACAATATGGGAATGGGAATACTTCCACCTCACCAAAACTCGTGCACAGAGTAAGAAACTCCCATGCAGTTTACAATGTAAAAACAGACTGGAGAACTGAAGAAAAAGATAACATTTTGAAAGTGATTTCTGATGTTTATGATGTTCAACATTTAAACTGTATTTTCACAGAACTTCAATAAAATCCAACTTATTGATTGCTGTAAACAAACATCTCCCCCTTACTTTTGATACTTACTAAGCACTTCATAGCGCATGTTGAGTAAAACTGTAAAAAAACAGTTAGACATATGTATTTTAAAACTATACTATAGATGCTGATGTTTTGGATAATAATTAAAAGTTGTAATTACAGAGAATTTTTTAAAAATCTTTTTGCATATAACTACATACTGTGCATGTACCATCAATGAGATCCAATTAGTTGCAAAGAATTTGCATTTCAGTGTGTGTGGGATAACAAGACTATAGGGAGGCACAATGCAATTCCACCAGCAGAGTAAGACAGTGGGTTCTTTCTTGTTAGCTCTGTAAGCAAGAATTCCCACAACTGACTGTTTAAAATGTTACTGATCTTTTCATTATTTGGGTATTGAGGTGGGTTTAGGTCCCCCCCCCCAAAAAAAAGCCACATTGGTTTCAACTATCAGCTCCAGTTAATAGCTAAAGGGACAAATGAGCAAAGGATTTTGTTTAGCCTGCATGTTTGTGGTTTTATTTTTGTTTTGGGAAGGGGGAGATCCTCCACACTTTTTGTTTTCTTCTTAATATTTACTAATAATTTCTTTAAAAACATACTGCTTTTAAAAAATAAATTCTATAACTGGGGGGTAGGGAAACCTCATTGAGATAGTTATCTGTAAATATAAGGTTTGGTGATAAAGGCATGCATTTAGTACACTAAGAAAGTACTCAAGGATTTTCATGCTTGTCTAGCTATGTTCCAACCATGTAAATGTAAAATAAATGTATAGCTCATATACTCAGTTTCACAGGCATCTCCAGGACTTCTGCTGGTCCACAGAACAGTACCTGTAATTCCCCGGGTTCAGTTCAGCAGCTGTTAGCAGATTCTGTAATCTGTAATGACAGTAAACTGGCCTTTGCTCTTCTTTCATTCACTATTCATTTTCAAGGCTTGGTTAAGTACAGAGCTGGGTTAAAGATCAGTGGTTTTCCATGTGACACACTCTGGTATTCATCTAATGGCTTGTCAAGACAAAACTGTCCCTGTTCTTGCCAAAATAAAAATGACGCTCCACATCGCATGACAATCAGCACTTCCTAATGGCAAAACAACTCAAGCTTTTGTAATTCACTTATAGAAAAGTGTTTAATAATTGGCTATCTAGTCCTATGTGTGGAATTAGGTTGTCATTCTCAAAGGAGATTTTTAAAAAATGTTTTAGCCACTCTTCATTCTAAAGCAACAAACATACACAGTTTATGATCAAATCAGACTTTACTCTATAAAAATAATGCTGAAGCTACAAATGTGTATGGCATTAAGGTATGTAACTTAATATATGCAAATTATGCAGAAATGGCAGGCTAGGCCCAGTCACAGAGGTAGGGAGAACCAATTGAGGAAATGTCATTTTTTTTTTTTTTTAGAACAAAGTATGGGACTTGCTTTGCAACATCTGTTGGGCTGTGTAATATTAACAGATGTCTTAAGTGAAAAAAAGGAAAAAGAATTAATAAAGGAAACCTCCTCTGAACAGATAATCCGCCCAAATTTCCATATTCCTGAGGGGGGAAAAGTTGACAGCAGCCTTTCTCCCTTGTGAAACCTGCCCTCCCTATTTTATTGTCCAAAGTTGTGTTTTCTATGTGAAGTTAAGGAGGAACGCTTTTGACTCACTGTAAAGAAGAGAATAAAGAAAAAAGAAAACAACTTCAACTGTGGTTTCCCCTTGTGAATAATTATATCATAATCTAAGCTGCCTGTTTTCCCTTGAGTCACATACGTAATTTGATGGGAGGACAGTGAAAACTTCACCCCCCCCAAAAAACACTCAAAAAGATGATATATAACTGTACTGTGCCTTCATGCTTTGGGGGAAAGAAAGGAAGGAAAATTTAAAAGCAGCTCGTAAGATAAGAGTTCTGATATGAACACATCACCACACATTAAGGTGCTCCTCTTCACTATTAGGATTCACCTATTATTTACACCTAAATCCTTGCACTCTCCACTGGCTCCTAGTTTCCTTCCATTATCACATTTCATATCCTTGTAAGGTATGAAATGCCCCTCTTTCAACCAACAAGGATTCCACAGCAGTGAAGTCTAATGATCACGAAGAGAACTTTTGGATTATACTAGCTGGGTCCCTGTATTTAAATTTTAAGAAAATTGGGAAAGTTTTCTTAGTTAACAATTTCCATTCGTGTTTAATTTATTATATGATTTAGGCAAACCCGAATGTAGCCGCCCTTTATCCAGATTAAAAATATGATGCATGTATGCCAACCTCTGAATCTAACCTGGTGCTGGTTTGTATGTAAATGAAGTGAACTATGGACCTGTATCCTTCTATAAATCTTTCTCTCAGGTGACACCTATTCTATTGCTTATTCTCCAAAAATTTGTGACATAAATCTGGGTTAACAGCTAGCTCCTGGATTAACTAATTCAAAATTAGGTTTAAGATCTTGACATATTCAAATGAAGGGGGGAAATTGTGTTGTCCTCTCTGATTGCTGGTCTCTCTCTCCTATATGAACGTCTGGGTTGAAATTGTACGTTATTTCATGTTTACCACTACACCTTAACCAGATGACTCTCACAGTGGGCTGGAGACATTTCAGCATATAGAAATCTCAAGGCCTGCACACCCAACAGTCACAGGTTCGATTCCCGGTCAAGGACTTGTATCTGGATTGCAGGTTCATTCGATCCCCGGGCCCAGGTCAGGGCGTGTTCAGGAGACAACCAATCAATGAGTCTCTCTCCCATCAATATTTCTCTATCTCTGTCTCTTCCCTCCCTTCCACTCTCTCTAAAATATCAAAGGAAAAATTACAGATCTTGTAACATAGAAATTCACACCTAAAACCTATATGTTCATGTTGACCAATGTCACCCCAATCAGTTTAATAAATTTTTAAAAATCAATGGAAAAAATATCAAGTGAGGATTTTAAAAATAAAGTAACTGTTGTCTAAAAAATGTATTATTACCTACATGGAGGGAGGAAGCTTGTGTGCTAAAAACATCATTATGTGACCTCAAACTAAGGGAGGAAAACAGACCTCCTAAAATAAGGTATGAATAGGACACAAGTTTAAACCACTTGAAACAGCAGCATGAACATCCCTGCAAGCCAATACTACCTACAAGCTTCACCTTTCTATGGCAAAGGGAGAAACCGCCCTGCACCAACTAGAACCACCACTGTGATACCATCTCTGCTGATCGCCTAGTCAAGGGCTCTGTTTCAGAGAAACGCATCCAGGACCTATCCAAATGCCACAACTGCTTGATACACTATTAAAAATAAAAAGATTTGGGTAAGGTGTGGTAGCTGAGGTAGCTTATTCAATGATGAATCTTTAGAATCAATATCAGCAGGTCCAAAAGCATTGATCAGCATGAATCTGGAGCCTCCACAAGATCAAACATTCTACCTACCCTGTTTTGGTTTAAAAACAGAAAACTGACTTGACTCATCTTCTCTCCGGTACAAATGGTGACAATGGCTTCTTCTAACATAACCTAGAGTAAGTATCTTATGAGAAAAAGATTCTAGAGGAAAAGAACCAGTGATGTGTTTCCTTAAACGAGTATCAAAACACATGCTGTGGAGCATACATGGGGAATTAGGTTTGTATGACCATGAAGAGCTTCAAGGATTGTAAACAGTATTAATTTCTTTATTTACTTCCTTCTAAAGCCTGCAGACCTCGAAGCCTGCAGTTCCAGTGAAAAATGTCATAATAATAGTTTAAATTACTGTCAGGAAGAAAGATTGAGATTCACAGACACCCAGAAAATCCAACACTGCTTTTGGAATTATCACAGAAAAAAAAAAAAGAGGCAACTCTATTGATGGCACCCCCTTATATGAAATTCACAGACCTAAAACGCAACTTTAAAAAGTGCAATAATACCAGTGACTTGGTTTCAAAATCTTTGGAAAACCACAGAGATTATTTTATATATACATCCATATTTCAGGGGAAAATTTTGGAAACAAATCAAATTTGAATGAACTTAGAGAGTGTTTCCAAAATTAAGAATCCCAGAAGATGCCAGAAACTCATTAACAGCAAGTTATAAGAGGACAGAATTAACAGGTGGCTTAGGTCTGAATAGTAATGATCCTCAGTGGGGAGTAGTGGCTGCAAGAGGTGTAAGGAAAGCTCCTGGTTGCAGGTGATGTTCTGCATCTCCTGCTACTTGGTGGTTCTGGCAACGATCGCTTTGTCATTCATCAAGCAGCATACACTTACGATTTGTGCACTTTCCTGTATGCGTGTTATATTTTGATTCTAAAAGTTGACTACTGCTACTGTTAATGGTAATACTACTAAAAACAGGGATAATAAATTAAAACTATATTTAAGAACAAAAAGAAAAAGGAAGGAAAAGAAAAAGTAATGGAGGGTGGGAGAGATGATGGGAGGGAGAGAAGAAGGCAGCAGATACTTTATTACTGTCAAAAATCATTCAGATAACTGTCATTACATGTACTGCTTGCTGGCAACAAACTTTTCCAATGTAAGAAGTGTTGGGAAATCAAGTAAATAACTGAGTTCCACAGAATGAGGATGAATGTGAAAAATAGTAAAAGGGCGGGAGAAAATACTTAGGTGAGCCATACCTTAGCTAGGCGGCGCAAGTGCGTGGCTATCTCCGAGAGGCTTCCATGGAAAAGAACCCCACAACACAGGATCCTGAAACCTGCTCACCAATCTTCCCTTTGAGCCTGTTCTCTGACAGACTGAAGTGTGAAAATTTGGGGGGATGTATTTTGGGGTAGGCAATGACTATGCCTACTGAGAGAATGTGAAAGAACCTACAGTCAGTACTATTTATAGGTACTGACTATATCAAGACAGATTTTAAAACACAACAACCAGCAATTGCAGATATACTCCTCTGACCACCAAAACCCTTTTTAAGAGTTAAATCTTCTAAGTCTGACAAAGGCTGGAGAAAGGAAGTAACAAAGTGGGAACGACTGGATCATTTGCTAATTGATTGATAGGGAATACACGTTTGTCCTGGCTAGTTCTGTGTCTAGCTGCCTTTCCTCCTATTTATTATAAAGAAAAACATTCAAAATTAATGAACATTTTTCACCCTTGTTAGGGAATATTTGACCTACTTGCCCGGTATAAGAAGATGTGGGGAACAGGAAAGTTAAGACAGAGTCCCTGCTCACAGGAAGTTTACAATCTAGTCCAGGAGATGAGCCATGTACAAAAACAACCTTAGTAAAACAATGGATAAGAGAAACAACAGCAAAACCCTATACAACTCGGAAAAGGAGATTCCTTCCAATCGGTGTGGTAACAGAAAGTTTCAAGTCCTGGCAGCATTTGCACTGGAACTGCAGAACTGGTAATGCCCCTAGAGAAGTGAACCAATTAGCCTAGAATTCTAGG